TTCTCTTAAAACCTTCCAAAAGCTTCCAGACATCCTACAATTTCCAGTGCCCCAAACCTCAGTGCTGTTATGGCTTTCAGTAGCATTATCCATGTTTTCCACACTCCAGGAACAGCATGTTTTTTTTCTACTCATTATCACCACAAAGTACCATATAGCAATCAAGACCAGTTTTCTTTACTCTTCTTGCAGCAGTAGGGAACCTCTAAGCCTCATGATCAGGAGCATAAAAACAGTTAAGAACAAGTCATCTTTCTCATTTATTTTCCTTTGATGTCATACCTGTGTTTGTGTCACATATTATAGAAGGCACCCTTTCTACTACAGCAACAGCATTCAACATCTTTCCAAAAATGTTACTGCAAATACCATTTCCTACTGCATCCACCTCCTACTCCTATAGAGACTACACTAGTCCCTTTACTAGATGCTGGAGAAAGATGTTCAATATAATGTATATGCCTCAGACCTACTCTGTAGTCTTCTCCTGCTATGAATGGTTAAAATGCGCACACTTTAGTAAGATAAGAATAAGAAGCAATCACCTGGAAGCACTGCCATAAAACATTAAAATATACCATTAAAAAGGAAGCTTACTGTTCATTACCCTTTCATGAATAAAAATAGCCAGATAAAATATCAAGGTCGTAACTGTTATTTCACTGCCCACAAGGGCACATAACAGAACTGAAGTGTCCCAGATACCCTGGATTTCATCAGCTACTGCTGACCCAGGGAGCTGTGACAGATACATGTCTGCCTGTCCTCATGTTATCCCAGATGCAAGGTAACTCATTCCTGTTTAAACAAATAATTTTTGACATTTCATCCAAAAACAGAGACAGGTTATAAGTGGACTCATAACATGAGTTGGCTTGGCACAACTTAACCTGTTGCAAATTTACTTTTACCAGTGAGGGGCCATCCCCATCAAAGATCTCCAGCGCCAGGAGCCACAAGCCAGGCGGCCTGCAGTGTCATTGCCTCCATCCAGCCTGCTTTCACCAAGCCTGAACCACAAACACGCGCCGAGCCCCGCGGGGCAGGCAGCATCTCTCACCCTTGTCGTTGCTTCCTCCGACGTACTTGAGCAGCTTGACCGCCCCTTCCTTCGTGGCTTCATCGAACGGCTTCCCCACCAGCTCCACCACCGCGAACTTCCCGCCCTCGCACGCCCTCTCCTCGTAGCTGACCTGGTCCTGGGGAAGGAGATGGGGATGGAGGCGCTGCCAGGAGGAACGCGCTGCCCGGCGGCGATCCCCGCTTGCCCTCGCAGCGCCTTAGCGCAGAACCGCCCGCCCCGGCACAGACCTTCTCGCCCTTGCTCAGCAGGCGGTAGGGCCATGCCTCCACCCTGCTGAGCAGCGAGTTCTTCACCATGCCCAGCATGATGCCGCGGCTCAGCTCTGCCCCGCCGGGCTCGGCTCTGCCCCCGTCGGCTCGGCTCGGCCCCGCTCGGGGAGGGGGAGGGCCGGAGCCGCCCCGCCCGCAGCGCGGCCCCAGCGCCCGGGGCGCGCCCCAGCCGCCGGCGCCGCGGGGCCGGGGCCGTGCGGGGGCGCCGGGAGCGGCGGGAGCGCGGGATGGGAGCGGCGGGAGCGCGGGATGGGAGCGGCGGTCCCGGAGGGTGAAGTGCAGAGGGCGCCGAGAAGTGTGAGGAGTCATGAAGTGCGGGACGAGATGGTACTCATCTCTGGGAGACAGGAAAAATGAGAGGGGATATGAAAGGAATGAAATACAGGAAAGGGGAAGTACTGGCAGAGTGTGCCATGCATAGTTTGGAAGGGCACCATGGTCCTAGCATTGCAAAATCATAACCTCTTGTTTTTTCGGTCTTTTGTGGTTTTTTGTTTTGTTTTGTTTTGTTTTAATAAACAGAACTAAAGGGGAGCATAGTTGTTTTTTTAAGGAGGTAGTCAGTGTCATTGGTTATTGTAAGCTTTAGGTGAAGGGTGGATTTTAGAAGTTCCTAATGATACTTGATCTCCCTCCACTGACCACCCAACTGATCACCTCTGTTTAAAAGTTCTGTCCAGATCCTTTCCCAGAAATACTTGTAAATGAACACAGCAGAGAGCTTAGATGGCTTTTGTAGCTGAATACATTTATATGCACAGAAGACTTTGAACCTTGTGACAACTGTTTTTTGGTTGTATAAGCCATGTCTAAGGACAAGTGCCAGCTAGAGGAAGTGCCTTACGCAGGATTTTTTAAGAAGAGGTTAGCAGAAGCAGAAATCAAATACCAGTCCCTGGGAATCAATCGCATGGGTCAGGCCAGCTTCCCCAGGCAGATAGGATAGAGGCATCTCAAGTTGCTCAGCTGGACTGCTGCCTCCTCAAATAGAAGGTGAACAGTGCAGAAATAGGCTGGCACATAACCTTCCTACACTCTTTAAAGAGCAAAGAATAAAATTATAAGATAAATAGGACACTAAAACTTTTCCATCTAGAGAGAGGGTCATACAAAGAGGTTAAAGAAGCTGGCTGTTATCATCTGATCAAACAGGCTGCATTCAGGGAGCTGGGCTGGAGCCTGGCATAGGCTTTCACAGAGTGAATGACAAGGGCTGCTATCACTGGTGACAAGGTCACAGACTAGTAATTTATTAACCATTTATATTACTTGATTTATTCACCATTATGCAAGAAATTGGAGGATTGTAATACACATTGCATGCTGCAGCTTATTTGTTCTTCTTAAAAGTAAATGGTGATTTTCTCTATTGTGGTGAGGAGATTTTGCCAAGACTACAAACTTGCACATATCAGCATAGGAATATGTAGACTGGGTTAGACTGGGTGTCCATCTTGCCCTGTCCTCCGTCTCTGGCAGAAGTTAGTGGTGGACATCTAGGTATAAAGTAAAAGTATGCAATGATGTGTTCTGGCCTCCCACCACCAGCTATCTGTAACATGAATGACTTAAGGAAGTCTATCTTTGTGTTTCAAGTAGTACTCAATTTGTACAACTTCAGGTTGCCTGATAAAATGCTTGTGTCTAAAATACAACCATGAAAGTTAACATCTATGTTGTACTCTTCCTCCAGATAGGCCAAAATAACCAGCAGTCCCCACAGCCCCAAGCAAAGCATCCCTTGGAGGGATCCACAGTCTGTGCAAGGATGCAGCTGCTGTTACAGCGCAGCCTAGAAACTCTGAATGCAGAATTACAAGAAGTTAGGGGCCTTTCTCACCTGTTATTCCTTGTAATTTATGCAAATATATTCTGGGATCAAAATGCTCTACATTGCTTGAGAAATTATGATGACAACAACAAAGGCACAACTGTACCCTTTAATCAACCTTTTCACAATCTTAATTTTTCCCTTCTCTAGCTAAGCAGTACTTCAAATTCCCAAGCAAAAGCCAAAGAGACCCAAGTTAGAGTTTTGTTATTTTCTGAAAACCTGAACTCAGAGAACTTATATCCGGGAGTTATTTATCAGATTGTCTCATACACTGCTCATACCTCCCCCACTCAACTAACTCCCAGGTTGCAGCTAAAATTCTTACTGTGTTAATTCTTCTGGTCCATTCTGAAAGATTTCATATGAAACTAGTTTTTACCCCTTTCCTTTTGGAGGTTATTGTACTGTCACTGAATTTCTTTCCATAAACTCAGGCTTTGGAAATCCTTAAATAGCTAGTCTGTATCCTCACTGTTACTGGAGAATGTTTTCAAAACAGCTGACATGCCAGACGCCCCCACAATCATTTAGACATAATCCATTATTTATTTTTGTTCTCATAAATTGCTTTATCCAGACCTTAAAGACTGGATGTTTTCCTGTTTCTTTTCCTCTCTGACTCTCTTTCTTATGTTTCAACACATTTCATATACACAGTTGAATGGAAATCTCTGTATTGGATTTATCTTTAGAGACCTGAAGGGCAAGCCCACTCTATCCTCCATTCAGTGCATAATTTGATTCATGCACTCTTTTTTTATCACCAGCTTTATTGTCAGGAAGACACAGGCAAAGACAAGCTGAAGGCAGGGTATTCTGGGTAATCCCTGAGGGAGCAAAGTCTTTGGAGAGGGTGGTTGTTAATTTTCTACAGATATTAATTGTGCTAAAGGATGTTTGGAAATGTCTGGAGGTCAGTGCTGGCATGTGGAGAAAATACTCAGTGAACCAGACACCAATTGAATTATTATCTGTGATTTTGGGGACGGAAGAGTCTCTTAAGCTATTTTGGAAAATCCTTCCAGACGCCTAACTTTGTCATTAGGTATCTAAATAGTTTAGGGATAAAAAATCCCCTGGTTTCCATGGGTCTTGGCAAAAATCAGTTCAGTGTGTTTCAGAGTGCTGGAAATTCTAAATATATCTACTGAATAACACCATTCTGAGTGCAGAGTTCCAGGTAGCTAGAAAAACACACTTGACAGAAGGCGGATGTTCGTATTTGGTCCCTAGCAATTGATATATCTTCAGTGTTGAAGCATGACATATAGACCAAGATTATCCAGCCCTACTCACCCTCTGAACATATGAACATGGACAATAGGTTAAGGCAATATTTTGAAATATAACTTCCTCTCCCTCTCCCTGCTCAGCTGGAAGTGCCAAGCACTAATCCATCTTTCTGCATTCATCAGTTGTTCAGCACTTTTGAAGCTCAAATTCCCCAGCTATTTCAGATGGAGTGCTTTAAAAATAGGGCAGGGAGAGAAATTCACCTGATCTTTATAGAAAGACCTTCCTCTGGTAAGCAGAAAGAATGCCTGTATAGAATAAAGGTGTTCATGCTCAAGTAGACTGAGCTTGTCAACTTTTTTTTTGCTTGGGGCACAAAACAGCTATCACTAAAGAACAGGGTCAGGTTTCGCCTACTGACCTAGGTTTGGAAGGCAGCAACAAAATGCAGGAGTTCCGGTCTCCTTAGCAAAGCTGAACTGTGTGTGTGCACTTTACTTTTTTTTCTCTCCAGCAATGTCCCATTAAGAAAGGCTTAAGTAGATGAAAAAAATTAAAGATTTTGCCTTCTTTTTTTTTTTTTCTGGTAGAGAATTAAGTGCTCTGAGGTCTTCTGCGAGCATATAGCCTTCTTCTATGTGTTGGGAGTCTTCGCAGCTGAGTATTTCCACGCCTCTGGCTCTGCAGAGCATTCAGTCGAAGGGGAAGGACAGTTTTGCTGATGACATTGAGGCGTTCATTCAGTTCTTCCAGCCTTTTCCTTATCGACTGGACTTCCCTCACAAGGTTGTCCACAGCTGCAGAAACAGGGCGGAGGCTACAACGAGAGTAATACAGAAGAATAACTCCATTTAGGGAGTGTTTCTGAGCATGTAAAGTAATTTACCATGACCTTTGTTTCTTGCTGGGTAAGGGCCCTTGATGATGAAAGACTTGCAAGCAACCATTAAAAGATGCTTCAAAGCTACCCTGCTCTTCGGTGATGGGAGTTCATCTGAGGGGCCCCATCTGAACCCTGGAACCCTGGAAAACACAAGATTCAGGACCAGCACGAACAACATGGTCTTTCCACCACCTTATTTTAATTAGTAATAATTAACTAGGAATATACCTGGAGACTAGGCCAGTGGTTCCCATGGAGTACTGCTAGTCCTCAGCATTTCTAATGGACCAGTCTGTGTCCTTGTCAGCAAACTAATAATTCAAAGCCCAGTACAGGATGTATGGCTGGATACTCTCATCACATCTTCTTGAACTAAAGATTGAACTTTCCAAATACAAGACTTAATATCGCCCCTGGTAATCTGGGGCACCAATGAATTTCAGCACTGACAGTGGGAAAGTTGTGATGAATTCTGTGCTAGTAACAACAGCCACCATGCAGCCAGGGAGAAATCCACTTGATGCCAAAGGCCAATGTATAATCTATGACGTATCCTCCTGAAACCCTGATTTGTACAGATACCATGTGATCACCTGTCTTTTTTATTATTCTAGACTTTCCTCTTCAACTGACTCAATGTGTAACATTTGCAAACATTTTTTTCTTGTTCCTGAAAAAAAAAACTACTTATGGAAGACAGCCACTTTACTTGCTTTAGGAACAATTCTGTTTTAAGTGATATTAGGTTTCTAGTAATTCCCAGTATTCCCTTTTCCTCTCTTTCTTTCACTCTTTCTGAAAATACAAGATCGAAGTAAATTTTGTGAGTTTGTTCAACACTTAATATCTCCAGCAATGCAAAGGGGGGATATGATGACATGAACTAGTGAATAGCTTTCGCAATTCTAGATGTTAGAGACTGAAATAAAAAAACATCCCAGACCAAATCAGCTTCTTTTCCCTGATCTGTGGCCAAGTCCATGTGTGGATTTGTAGAAAAATTCATTTTTTCCAGCCTGTTCTCACAAGTGTAAGCTGCCAAGGGCATTTTCTTTAGGGAGGTTCTTGTAATACAGTGATGGTAGTTGAGAGTGTTTCACAATAAATAGTTAGCAGAGTATTCAGTTTACTAATCAGAGCTGGTAGCACAACAGGCATGAGATAGTGTGTTTTATCTCCTCTCAACTGAGAAATACAAAAATTCATCTTTTAGAACATGAATCCTGCTCAGGGAAGGACACACAGGAGAGGACTGAATCCCACTTCCAGATGTAATGAATTACCTGGAGAACTCAGGCAGGAGAGCATTTGGATTGTTCAGCAGGGTATGCTTCATTTGCCAGAAGATGTCATTTCCCCATTTCTCGAGGGTTTGAGTAATGCTGTAAACACCTTCTATGTTAACCTTGTCAGCTAGGTTAGCAGGATATTCATGGAAGAGAGGAAAACAAATGTGTCAGCACAAGGAAATACAAGCCAGTGCTCCAAGTTTGATTCCATTCCCCATCACAAACTCAGTCACAATGAAATGCCAAATACTAAGCACATGAAGGATATAAATTAAAAAGCGGGCAACTCTCCCTCACAGTGTAATTCTCTGCCTCCATGTGCCCAGGTTTTCTGATGTCACTGGATACCCCAGCTGATTATTTCTAAAAGTATTTTTTTCTCCAGAAGTCTCCAGCAGCTACCCAGGAATCAAAAAAGAGCAGTCATGAATGAGCACTGTCTATCTCATTCCAAGGACAAAATAATGAGTTACTGAACACCTCCCATGCTGAACCACCATTGTGATCTCCTACCGCCTTCTCTGTAGTTCCATTTCTGGTGCTGGTCCAGGAAGTCCTGAGATTTACTGCAGGGCAAAAGGATGAAGAGGAGGAAAAGAGGAAGAGTCACCATGATGGCTGTTGTAGGATCTTGACTTATCCCTGTCTCTGTGGAGACAAAAGTCTTGCTAAGTGCTTAATTTCTTTTTTCTTCTCTTTCTCCACTGCCCATCTGTTTTCATAACACCAAATTTCTCTTTGGTGATGTTTTTATTTAAAATGTTCAAGTTGCTCAGAATAGGTTTTACAGAAGCACAGGGACATTTCTTCTTCAAGTATGAACTTTACTTCCTTTTCAATCAGCAGTGGTACTGAGATGCTTCATCAGCCAGCAGCAGCTGGGGAAGTAGCTTTGCTTCCTATGTAGCCATGTTGGGATAGCTCCTTATGACTACAATTGTTCTGGCAGCATCAGGAGGAGGTGCTATAAAGTGTGAAAATCACTGCATCCCTACTTTGTATTTGGGAGAAACAAGATAAACAACCATTAAACAATTTATCAAGTGTCTCATGGTGGCCAGAATAATAAAAAAAAATGTTCTTTTTGGTCTGATCCACTAACCAGTGGCAATATCATAGATGCTGCCCAGTGATGGAGCCTCAAAGGTAACCCCACTCCCATGTACCATCTCTACCTTGCCATGGTGCTACAGGGTCAGTTCCTCCTGAGCAAAGCTGCAGAGTCCACAGGACATGTATATGAACTGATGTGAGCACTTACCTAACTCCTTGTTTTCTTTAAAGTTTACCATCATTCCCAAGCCAGCCCTACCTACATGCCCTCCTGGGCTAGTACCATCTCTAAACATAAGGGGATAGAAAAGTCTCTGCACAGCTTACTCATGCTGATTTGTTATTCTTTCCTGATAAATTAGTCCCTCAGTGTTGAATCTGGTACTTTAATTAAAAAAAAAAAATGTCATGAACAGCTGTTCTGCTAGAAATTGGCTGAAAATATCCATTATGCACATATTGCACATAGCAAACAGAAAAAATGTATTGCCAAGTTCATGGGGTTTAGTGATGATTTTGGTCATCTGTAGTCACAGTGATGGAGGGGCTCATGTGAGAAGCAGGCACATCCAGAAAATCTGAATTATTCTCCTGTTCAGGTACATGCATCAAAAGCCTAAGATCTCACTGCAAAATATGAGAACATTAAATTTCTTTTTTAATATAATATAACCATCTGGGAGAATTTAGACACCTAAAACTTACCAGAAGCTGTACAGATAAAGCAGTAAATAAGTAATTCCTTTCACTTTGTGCCTTTCTTACATTTGATCACTAGGGTATTTTAATTGCAACTGCATTTATTTTTCCACTATTTAAAGTATCAGTATGAATATAGGCATAGTAATGGAAAATGTCATGATACTTTAAAAACATTACTTTCCATCTGTCAGGATGCAATTTGTATTTAGTATTCTTCATCTAATTGCAGTATTCATTTAAAGGAAAAATAAATTACCTTCTTCCTATCTCACACATGCATACACCTTTTCTTCCTGCTAACTCAGACCTGCCAAAATAAAGACCTTTAAGAAGGTCTGACGATATCACCAAGGCTCATAATGAAAAGGTCTTCATGGACCTTCTTGAAACTATTTGCATTGACACCATGCCTCCTCCACCTTTCAGCTTTTCCAGATAAATGCGCCAGCTTTTACAGCTTTTTTTTTTCTCCCTTTCTTTGAATGATTATGCCCTGCATATGCCTTTTTAATCTTTCCTGATGGGAAAGGACTTACCAGACACCCATGTGTCTAATTGCAAATGATTTGAAAATGCTGCCAACACCAAGGAGACAAGCTTGTGGCTTCCAAGCTAATTGGAAAATTTCCTGAAGAGATTGTCCATTCCTTATCCTTTCCAGCTCCCACTTGTTTCAATACCCCACAGCTGGGATACTTTGATCTTTCTCTATTTGTTAAAAGTAGGGTGGAAAAAAATTCCACCTACATCTTATATTGAAAATCCACGCTACTTGAGCTCCAACTTTTTAAAACATCAGGTGTCCAAATGAATCACAATACACACATGTTCTATTTGCAGGACCCTTCACAGACCAGTTTCTTTGTAGCTTTGCTCCCTGCATTCCTGAGGGTCTACTATAATTTATTATCACAGTAAACATCAGGTTATAATCATCTTTGAAGTAGATTCTCATACCTCAGGCACACAGAAAATGAGCAATCTTCCCTCTCTTAGGTGGAATTGTAGACAGCAAATGGATATTCACTAACAAATTCCTAGCTGAAAAAGTCTGTGGAGTCATCTGTAACAGGAACCAGATGCCCAGCCAATTCAAATATGTCTTCTGCCCTTTTGCAGAATTGCACTGGAAAGTACTCTCAGGGTAGAACACAGATGGACAAGCAGGGACAGCTCTCTCACATCCTTGGATGGAAACTCTTTCCTAAATGCAGAGAATAACAATATCAACATATTAGTTTTGTCATTGTTACTCTTAATTACAATAATATGAAGTGCTCTCAGAAAATTACATCACATTCTGCCCTTGGAGCAGAGTAGGCTCAGTGATTCACTAGACAGGCCCTTCATCTTCAGGCAGTGAAAACCAACATATTTGTCTCATTATTACACTTTTTTTTTTCATCCTTTTACTTTTTGATTCCTTACTTCAGCATGATAAAAGAGCTCAGCTAGTTTAATACCCTGAGCACAGCCAAAATCCCTGCCCCAAAGCAAAGGAGTACTGCCAGTATTTGAACTCCCATCACTGTCCCTCTCCCATTAACCCCTTTGGTTTCTTGTTGCTCTATTTCCAGTGCTCATCCCTCCTCACAATGTAGTGGGTAATCACAACAGAGCCATGAGATTTCCTTGGTATCTGCCTCAGACGTTGGCAGCTGGGGTCAAGTGTGATGACTGAAGTACACCACTGCTTGTGGGTGTGCTGCCTGCCAGGATATGGGGGACTTGTCCAGGTTACCTTCTTCTAGTACCAAACACAGCTTCATTTCAGAGAGCTCTCTCTCCCCTGAAGCCTGAGGAGAACACACATCCTATTGCAGACTTGTGAGTTGCTTCTTCACGATGTAGAGCTTGCCTGCCCCTTGTACAAAGAGGGCTTCAAGCCTTCCCCTGTACTTCTGACTGCTCTAAACACATGCCCTCTCCCGAGTGCAGCAGCATCCCAGTGGGTTAGCTTACACCCATGCTTGCTTTGAGATTGTTGATTACAGTTATCAATCCCTGCAGTGATACCTAAAATTAAGGATTTTTTTTCTGCATTTGAACATTGAAATGCAAGCGAATTACATTAGTGCTTTTCATTTGAGGTCTGTTCTCCTCTCATAACTTTTTCAAGTTCCTTTTGAGCTACTTTCAGACTGAAGCTCAAGAGTGATTCTGGATTTTGTGTTGTTTGCAGGGAAATAAAATATACTTCTAAGTGAATCAGGGAGCTTGATCTCAGGTAAATCATAAATACATAAAATGTATCTCTCACCCTAATGATAATGGATATTTAAACATCAAAGTATGTTTAAGATTCTCAATTTTGTAAAGGATCTCAATAGATAATAAAGCTATTTTTGCACACTGTTGGAATCTCTCTCTTTTTTTCCTTCTATCTCTTTTATTTGCATTGCAATATTTTAAGGCCAAATTACTTACACACACCCAACTGAAAGGTTCTGTTTTATGTATTAGGTTCAAGAGGTTTAAGTTATATAAACCAAACAGTTTCTTATTAAAAAAAAAAACAAAAAACCAAAAACATATTGTAGCTGCATACAATTTCTAATGCCAGTTCTTTGAGACTCCCAGCCTGGGATCTTGAAAGGTCTCTAAGCTTTTAGAGGAGAAGGCTGCCAAGCCTGTGAGTCCAGAACAATCAAAGTATTTGCAAGCTCTACTTGCAAAGCGGATGGCATTTCTTAGCTCTCCGAGCAAACAAGAAACATTAGCATATGCTTGTAGAATTATGTAATGGTGGAAAGATCGTGAAAAAGGCCAAAAATAATTTAAAAAATTGGATCCTACAATATTAAGCCAGCCACAGTAGTACAGCTAGAATATCACCTGTTTCAGAAGTCTTTATTATAAATCCATTGTAATGTAATATTCTTCAATTTACGTGTGTGGGTACAATGCTGTAAGTTGGTGCACACACACACTCAGTTTGAGGTCAGAATAACAATATGTAGGAATAACAATATCCTCCTGAATTTTTCAAGTTTGGCTACAAATTTGAGTTAAATAGTGCTTTTTCCTATAACTAAGAGTTACAGTGCTCATTTTCTACCTGGATGTTGTGTGAAAGTGAAGAGCATCTGAATCCCTAATACAGCCTGACCCCCATGCCAAACAAGGAGATCTGATTGACAGCCCTGATGACAGACAGCTATGGTGATGCTGTTGCCAGCAAGCAGCCATAGTGGAGATAAAGAAGAAGAAAAAAAAGCCATCCAGGTGCAAAGCAACCATCTGCTGCAATACATCTGTAAAGTACAGTTGTAATATTCACCTTCTGCCTCTCCTCCAGGAGTGCCTGCTTTTTCAGGATATGTCTTATCTTCAACTCTCTCTCATTTTAGTACGTGGTCCTTCCTCTTAGGAAGTTTTTTCTCTCTCCTTAGATAGTCACCCACAGATCTTGCACTCTCCATGTCTGCCTGTCTGACAGTCTGCCTGACTAAGGATTTGCTTTCTCTTTCTTTCTCCCTATTTCTCTCACTCTGCAAACCCCTGTTCTCTGTAGAAACTGTAGGTAGCAATCCTCCAACCTCCACGTCCATTCCAGTCTGTAAATATTCCTTCCTCTCCTGGCTCTTCCCACAGGAGCCTTTAGAGTCCCTCAAAGCAACAACTTCTTTCTGAGGTGTATGGATCTGTTTCCTCCAGAGGAAGAAACAAAACATTCCTGGGAAAGAAGGCAGAGAATTGTATACAAGCATTACCTTTGCTCTTGAGGCCAGTTCTTCCGTGATGAAGCTTCCAAATCTCTGCCTCCCTGCTCCTTTCTTCCCCTTACCACCCCCTCTGCATTTCAGTTTGCGAGTGACGTGTCCCTCTTCATTTCCCTGCTTTCCACATTTCCACAGTCTTTCCGTGGAGCCTCCTCCAGCTGTACCTCTCTTAGCCCTCCCTCCCACTCCTGCAAACTGGCCATCTCTCCCCACACATGGGAGCCTTATGGGAAGCCTGGGCGATGGAGCCCTTCTCAAAAACAGCTCTGTCTCCAAGGACACTCGTGTTATCTTTGTCCCCGGTTCTTTTGGGCAGCTCTCAGTCGCTGGCTCTCTGGCACATCTGTATGACTTCTCCTACTAGTCACAGTTTCCACTACGCAGTGCTTCTCTCTGGCTGCTTGAACCCTCCAGCCATCCAGTCGTGAATTTGTTCGCCGCGTTCTTCCTGCCTTTTAACTAACACGCCAATTAATTCCCTGCTGATTAGTTCATTCCTGATGCATTCTGCCAAATCTATTTCCAGTGGAATAAACAAGGAGGGGTGAATCGGCTGCAGTGTTGTTTTTTTTTTCCCTTGATCCCCTCCCCCAGGTCTGCATTTGCCAAATCAAACAGGCTTTGGTCTGGTCACTACTTAATAAAAAGATTTCTGAACAAATGCAAGGTGTTGACAGGATGAATTTTGTGAAGCAGGGAGCGAACCCCTGACTCTGGTCCCATGTCCATGTCAAACTGGTATTCTGTTGTGATTTGAGATGTGCAGCTGCCACAGCCCAAAGCTGCAGAATTGTTGCACACATCACTCATGACTAGACCCATGGCACTGCTTGCAAGTGCCTTGGCCAAATCTGCATTCTTCTCAGTATTACTTCTCCAGTATCAACTGGCAAGAACACCCTCTCTGTTTCCTGACCAGCCTATTCTTACTTCATTCAGTTTTCCACAGCCAAGACGCTGCACTATACAGTGAGAAAAAAGACACTTTTCTCACAGGGCAAAGGACTGCCCAGCCACTCAGAATAAAAGGATATGTGGATACCAGAGGATATGTGCAAGTGATATGGACAGAGCAGTTAAAAATGCAGTATTGTGATTGCAACAGATGCTGGTGTAAACCAGCTGAGGAGTTGATTGTGAGGGAAGCTGAGTGGCTTCTAAGCACAGACCATAAACATCAGCCAAACATCAGCCAGCATTATCTTTTAGTCAGCCACTTAAATCCACTCAAGAAGAGAGAGGTTCCACTGGAACTAGACTCAGGGATATCTGCTTCTCTGACACCAGAAGCATGTTGTTTTGACTGCTCCTGCTCCCCCAGTCCCACTGGCTCTGTGGCAGGGAAATTTCTGAGAAGACTGACTTATTCATGGAGCCTCGCCACTGAAACAGCAGGACACTTTTTTGCAAAGTTATAAAACACCAGTTTTTAAAATCAATGCACAATATACAGGCTTAACACAGACCAGCCTCCAGAGGAACTGGAAACATATTTTTTCAGGGCTCAAACAAGCAAACAAAATGTCCAGGCAACAGGCAAATAACCCAAACAATCATCTGCCTCCAGCTGTTCCCCATTCAGCATGTGGCAAACACCGTCCTGTTACGCCTTTGCATCTGCCTGCCAAGAGGAAGCAAACTGCTGATGGTCAGTGTGAGACGGGGACACCAGCTTGAATGCTCCAAGCAAGAACCCCTCCAAGGGGGCATAACACAGAGTTTGGGTGAGCAAACCTGATGGCACTTCACAGCATGCATCGACCCGGTGCCGGCAGACCCAACTGCTCAGAGGGCAGCTCCCAGTGGTACATCAAGATGTATACTTGCTGCTGGGCAGTTTGTGGGATTTTGCAGCAGGTGCTGCCTTCCTTTTTGTATAAAAAGGAAGGCAGCACCTTATTACCTACCCTCTCCTTCTCTTTATTGTGTTTCCAGTTCATAAAGGACTGGGCACTTCCCTCTGGGGTCTCAGCCACAGGGTGCCCAGCATTGGCAGAACAATGCTGAGACTAGAAATAGACCCATCAGGAGTTTGGCTGGGGCAACTCTCTGCAATAACTCCCTCAACTAACACACCCCATAAAGGCAGCATGTGGGCACATCCTGCAATCTCAGGTGCTGCACAGCTGACATTTTTGCACAGTTCTGACCATCTTTCTCATGCTAGGGTGAACTGGTCTTGGCTTTACTGCATGGGTCCATTAGAAACTCCATGGTCGTCTGCATTATTTAAAACTTCCTGAAGTGTGCCGTTTTGCACCTGCTAGAAATGTTATTATCACTTTTCCTGGGTTTACTTGCCTTTATTTTTTCTTACTGTTATCCTTCACTGCTTGATTATATTTATTTTGTTGTTTGAACAAGCATTTCCTATTTATTGCAATGTCTACTCCTGTGTGACAGCTCTGTCACGGAAGGACTCAGCCAGGCACAGGAGGAAAGAGGATGGTGTTCCTGGCCTTGCCATGTAGCCATGCAGACTAGAAGGATGGGATGAACAAAACGGGTGAAAACATTGGCTTAACACTAGTAGGAATGCAAAGATACAGGTTATTTCTTCCCTCTGGACATCTGGGAAAAGGTACAGCTGGGAACAGCTCCTGGCCCAGCAGCTAGTCAGGAGGCAACTGCCCTCTGAGCTTTCACCAGAGCTGTGTGTGAAACCACTCCATTGTGCAGCTCTGCACGAGTGACCTTCTCCAGCTTGAGAACCTTCAATAGCAGCGTTCCATGCAGCTCCTTTCAGGGTCAAGGAGCAATCAGAGGTTTCAGCATGGGCAGGCTGGAAAAGGCTGTAGTCTATGACAGACAGGCAGGAAGAAGCAAGGGGTGACACAGGCTTAACACTGATTAGGGGCTGGTGGCTGTGTGTTTTCACGCTTTTTGGCTTGAAACGTTTTTCTAAATGACCACATTGTCTACACAAAGCTCCTAAGCCTAACCCCAAGTATGTAACTTTTCAGCATCTGGCATTTTCAAACTGCTTTGGAAAAAAAGATAAATAAAATGAACAGTGACAGTCACATAAATTAATGAACTATTTGCAACTTTTTGATTGATATTCAAACACTTGGCAGGTCCAATTTATATGCAAATCAGCTTATATTCACAGCGTAAAGAAGGAAAACTTAATTTCTCATGCTTTGCAAATCATTAAATCCTCTGAACATATTGCTTAGTCATATGTTCCTCAAAAGCATCAGTTTAACCACAATTCACTTGTCCTTGCAATCCATTAGCCTCACAGAGAACTCTGGGCTTGGGGAACAAGCCATTTTTGTGGGGACACATGGAATTAAGAGTGGGATATGCTGCACCACAAATGTAAAATCATAGCAAACTATGGGCTTTTGCAGTGTATGTGTGTGTGCCAGATGTTAGAAGATCACAAATGAGGACAGCAGACATCCCAGTTCCTGTTTCTGGCTGTTTTCTACCATTCCTTTGCTCCCAGCTCTAATTGGTACCAGAAGCATTTTCTTAGAAGGAGTCACTTTGCTGGACAGCTCTTGCCCTGTCTATCACAGGCTTTGCTAACTGAGACTTGAAAAGGATCCAGGATATATCCTGTAAATATTTACATAGATACAGGACTGTCATTGCTCTTAAATCAAAGCCTGGAAGACAGGAAATGGCATATGGAACAGAAAGACTTTTTGTTCAGAAAGACCTGGAAGGGAAAGAATAACAACAACTGTGATGGCTTTTCCAGAGTTTGCCACCTGGGACTGCCCCCACAAGTGCTGTGCTCTCAGGAAGATCTCTTTCTGAAGCCTGATGACATCAGTGGAAAAAAGCCCTCTGGTACCAAAGACTTTGGATCAGAACTATTCTTTTTCCTGTTCATATCTGAAAAATAAAAAAGACCTCTCTTCATCAACTAGACCACTTGGTGTCTCTCTTCTGCTCCTTACTGTTACAATTCAAGGTGTTCCAGAACAGAGCAGGACATGAAAGAGTGAGTATATTATTTGCAGAAACAGCACCTGAAACAGGGAAAGCAAGAGCAGCAGCAGATGCTGAGGAAATGTGACGTGTTCATTAGCCAAGCGGAGTCTCTTTTGATGCATTTGGCCAGTACTCCTTCCTCTCATTCAGTGATGGAGAACGTTGCCTTGTGCGTTCTCACACAAATCGTGATTTGAAGAAGTGGTGGTGTTCCAGGGTCCATGTGGAATCAGGAAGCCTTGTGGCTTTGGGGAAGCCACAAAACCCTCCTTGCTCAACTTCCCCCCTTGTGGGAAAGGGAGAGTTCACGTATTCACTCACCTCGGAAGGCTGTGGTGACGACTGAGGATAGCTTTGAAAAACAACCTGGCCATCTTCTGCAATTAATCAATGACAACAATAAAATGAAATAAAATGAAATAAAATGAAATAAAAT